TTCGTGTACAGTAGAATATATTTTATACAAAAATTTGCCAATGCGAAATACTCTTTAGCTAAAAATAGACGTTACAATAATTTGTTATTTAGCTACAAATTGTTATGATGAAATCACATAATATGAAAAAGTAACAAAAACGAATTCTATAGTAACGGAAATAAAGCAAATTTCCTTCTACCTATCTCTAGATAACCCTTTACTATGACAAATCTATAATGGTGTACCTCTATTTATTCAAGCACTCAAATACTTTTAACATTTAAATTCTTTACAACACTCAACCCAGCAAAAACAAATTCTTATACAAAATACCCCCGGAAATACAGACACACGAAAGTCGCGCGGTAATATATCGTTATTACTCGCTGTAGAGACGATCCGAGGTGTATCTTCACGACAGCACGGAGGAAAATTGTGAATCATGGGTTTACTAATAAAAATCTTGCCTGTCGTGCGTTCCCCTGAATCCTAATATCAGTTAAGTAATGAACCGACAGGGATAGTCGCGCTACTGGAATGCCTTATAACGCGGGATGTATACACGGTACAGCGTTATGCTGTTCACCTCACTTTTATGAGAATGGGGGTTAGGTTTACTAGTCGCTACTAAATCTACTGTAAAAAGCATCACACACTTACCAAATTATACAGGCAAACCTCAATCGAACTTTGCTTTTTTCAAGTAAACTTTGTTGTTCAACGTAATGTAAACATCTATAAATGACAATCAAAAGATTAGGGAAGAATGTAAACAAACAAATCTAACAGCTGATGCGTTTTCAATATTTTAGTGATTAAATACAGACAGTTTTTCTCAAAAGTTCGCGATCCTTATTAACGATATATTTGTATATAGATTTTTTCCTTTTCCCTCTATACAAAAAATATGTAAAAAAAATATTTTTTCGTTAACATTTTCAAGTTTGGGATTTGAGTGGAAATGGATTTTGGTTCTTCCTGAACCATCAAAATAGTGTTTTTTGAAGTGATTCTGAGTATGAGATTTGGATGAAATTTGGTCTTGGGTACTAAACCATGTCAGTATTTATAGGTGTTCTTTTTCAATAATTTTAATAGTGATTATTCTATTCATTTAATTTAAAAACAAAACAGTCAGATTTTCAGAAAACCAGTTCACCAATTTTTATTAAAATTTAATATGTTGTTGTCCTGTTGGCTCTAAAAATAAACTCTAACTATTTACACTTGCTGTGCTCCCTATATACAACTCTTCCCATAAAAGTAAAATAATACTAATAAAAAATTATAAGGTGAAAAGTAAACGTAAATACAAATTTGTATTTTTTCCTTTAAGAACTACAACATACGTTATGAGCGATCTTCACACCCATTAGAGTTATCCTCCACGGATATTAGACAAAAACTGTATAGGTATCATAAACATAAAAAATGACGTCACTCTCGGATCTTATTCTAATAATCCTAACACCTAGTGCGGTAGTTTTGTACAGTTCCAATTAAATAATGTTTACTTTCGAGCTGGTGACGTCATTTGTTTATGTTTATGATCCATACCGTTTTTGCACCAACATCCTTGGAATCCTCCCACCAAAACGTAAAAACGAATTCATCATCAAAGACGTTCAAAGTTGATATTTGAAATTAAAAAGCGGCAAAGGCGTTTAAAATATGAATGTCTTGGAGTGCGGTTCATCTGCGGTTGACTCGTTTGATCCAGCCTTGAGTTAACCGTTTAATTAAAAATACCCCTACAAAAGACGGATTAGAAATGACTAAAGGAATGCAGAACGTTGCGTTGTTTGAAGACGGTTCCATTCGTCCCCCCTCAAGGAACTTTCTGTTGAAAGTCGATGTAAGTATTATTTGAGCTGTGGACGTTATTATTACAAGTTTTTAATCGTGCACAGTGAAGTTGGCATGACTGCAGTTAGTTATAGTTGTCACTGCAGGTAATCTTTGTAGAACCATTATTACATTTTCTCTACACTTCCTTCAGTAAAAGTTTTGTATTTCTATATTTCTGTTAACAACTTTATTTTTTACGCTACGAAATGTTTTCGGATTCAGAATTCAAACAGGATATTTTGTATAGCAAGTGATACTTTAGCGGATTGCCAATTTCGGAAACCTAACCGTATGTCTCACGGACCTGGGACCGGAAAAGTATATCCTAAGGTTACACAACTCAACACGATAATCCGAATGGAATTGTTGGATATTCCTGAACCCTTTTTTTAAAGTGTTGGAAAAATGACGAAGATTTATGTTTAAAACGAAGTAGAATATTTGTTTGATAGAAATGTCCATTACACTTTTTCTTAGAATCCTGAAGACTGTAATTCTTATAAGAATATAAGTCTTGTCATTAAATCGCACTGCTACTTCAAGAGTCCATATTAACATTTTAAGAGGATCCGAAAGCCTAATAATTTCAATGTCATTAAAAAACTATGAAATTAGTAACAATAATACACAAAAATCTCATGAAAGGGGTTGAGACGCCCTTAGCTTAAAAATATATGTCTTAACTAATTAATTATTATTAATGTCCTAATTAACCTCAATGCTAATGATAGAACAAAAATGATGATATATCATAGGATTAACTGTTGCACAGCTCAATTTCTTGGTTATCAATGTTAAAAAAGTACAAGAAGCAGTACCAAGTCAGAAATTGAAAAGAGTTATCGCTCAATTACACGGGTTTCAACTTAATTAAATAAGATATTGTTTTTCCTTGCAGGTAATCGTAAGGTAAATGATTTACTTTATCGTTTTTAGGTGTTTTCTGAGGTGGGAAGGTTCCACGGCGAATCGCAGATATAGGAACCGCCTTCTTCTTCTTCGCGAACGGTTTTACAAAAACCACAGACAGCGCTGGTGTGTAATTTGCTGGTCGTGACTGGCCGACTGATAAGAAGGATTATCAGTCATCTGGCCTGATGACGCCAGGTGCAGCCCTGCGAAACGTCGGCCTATCGGAGATACGATGATAAACTGTGACTGTAATTGATTTCCATCGAGTGCCAAGTGTGAACCTGTGATATATGGCATGGAAATAGTTGGTTTAATGTTATTTTTTTTATCATTGATTTGATTACAATCAACGATAGGTTTCATAATTCATCATTTTGAGGAAATTTTTTTTAGTTTCAGTGAATTTTGACAAGGATATGCTACACAATAATAATATCAAAATATAGATGTACTAGCTGTACCCGTTGGCTTTGCCCCGTTTAACTTCTTAATTTTCAAGATGAGCTCGTTCGCATGGCTCTATCACGTCCTGGTTGAAGTTCGTTCGCTACGCTCACTCACCTTTAGGTTGGAGCTCGTTCGCTGCGCTCACTTGCCTTCAGGTTAGCTCGTTCACTACGCTAACTCGCCTCCAGGTAGAAGTTTGTTCGCTACGCTCACTCACCTTTTAGTTGCAAATTAGCTGTTGTCATAAATAAAAAAAATAATAGTGCTGCACCCTGTTGGTAATCCTTGCAACTTTCAACATCATAGAACAGAACCAACTTGCTTAATTGAAACAGCTGTTAAGATTCATTAATTCCTTTTAAATATGAAAAAACATAAGGTTAACATGGGAAACTCCAGAGCCACTGGGGCGGAGCCCGAGAGTCCGATCAGAATAAAAACAACTTAGTTTTCCTATTTAATGCCTAAAGAATCAATGTGCCAAATTTCAGACTCCTAGGTAAATGGGAAGTGGGAGAATTAGTGATGAGTGAGTGAGTGAGTGAGTGAGTGAGTGTGTCAGTGAGGGCTTTGCCTTTTATAAGTATAGATAATTTATGATATTCTATTATATTAGAGGCAAACTTGAAAAAAAAACTATTATCTTAATAACCACAAAAGTTTATTTTATTGATTTTATATAAAATCTGAATCTAATTCAAATTCATGACTTGGTTTCGTCGGATAATCGGATTTAAAGACATTAGGCAAATGTTTTAAAAATTTAGTCCTTATAAAAGAGCACCCCTTTTTTAAGTTTAAAACTTTCCGACATATTTGCTTTATATTATATTTTTTAACTGACGTGTAATCAGTTAGGAACACGATTTGTCAGGTGGTTAGATCCCACCATAGTTCAAAACCCACCAATCACCATAATATGATAACGGTATATGTCGATGGCCCAATGCCCACTTGAAGCTAGATACAGCACATGTGGAAAACTAAATAGAACAGATCACTCGGAATAGGACAATTCCACTCGCCCTTAATTTTTTTACTTTATTAAGAAAACCTCGTGGTTTTTTCCGTCCATTTGTAGTTTATACGCAGCATCTTTACAATCATAAAGATAAAGGATGACAAGGAATTAGAAGGACTTACCACCATAGTAGCAGAGTGACAGTATTCGCCTAACAATTAAAAGGTTGCCAAATCGATCCTGAGCAAAAATCTATAATTTTTATGGTTCGAGCCTGGACGCAGCTGTTACTAATCTGCTTTAAATATGATCATGGCTAATGACACAGCTGATCTTAATCAGTATCAAACATTCTTCACTCATACTTTGGTTAAAATACGCAGCATCTTTACAATCATAAAGATAAAGGATGACAAGGAATTAGAAGGACTTACCACCATAGTAGCAGAGTGACAGTATTGTTTTAGTTAGAAAATATAAATAAAATTAGAAGCTTTAACATTTAAAGTTCAGAAGTTTATTTACAATTCCACTCAAGACAGAAACATAAACATGACTAATATTGTTTACCTCCAACTAACATATGATACATTTAACATATGATAATATGTGAATATAACATTATAATACATCTTTCCCCTTTAAAAAACAGCAAACAAATTTGAAAGAATTAACTAAAAACAATAACCAATAATAACCAAAACAAATTTGAAAGAATTAACTAAAAACAATAACCAATAATAACCAACCAAACTTCTCCCTTCTTTTGAGACCATATTATATTGTATTCTGAAATCTTGATGGTAGCTTGATTTCTCTACGAGGTCTTAGTTGTACTGGCTCGTCTTGCCTTGGAACTGACTGGGAATTGTTTTGTTGAGTGAGTGATGGTTTCAGATGGCGGTGATTTCTTCTTAATGTAGCCCCGTTGTCACCTTCTACCCAGTAACTTCTTGGAGTTGGTCCTTGATTAACAATCTTTCCCTGCTCCCACCTTCCTTCATTTCTGAAGACAACTCTTTCGTTATCTCTTACAACCCTTAAGTCTTTGGCTGACCGATCATAATATTTTTTCTGCAGCTGTTGTCTTGTATTTAACCTGTCTTGTACTCCATCATTCAGCGTTGGTTTCAGCAGTTCCTCGGTTACAGGGATCGTTGTCTTACACCTGCGTTGAAACATCAGCTGAGCTGGAGAATATCCCAGATGCTTAACGGGCATGTTCCTAAGCTCCAATAAAGCCATTTTCAAATCCTTATTGTCATACTGTACTTTCCTTATCAACTCTTTGGCCATTCCAACTGCCCTTTCAGCAAGCCCATTGGATTGTGCATAGCCTGGACTGCGTGTCACAATTTCAAAATTCCATTCACGGGCAAATTCCCTCATTTGGGCACTGTTGTAAGGGACATTATCCGCTACCATTATATCAGGAGGGCCAAATCTACTGAAGATGTCTTTGCATGCTGATATTACAGACGTTGCTGATTTACATGGCATTTTAACCAGCTCCAACCAGTTTGAGTAAGCATCCATTATGACTAAGTACACATTTCCTCCATATGAAAATATGTCACATCCGATACGCTCCCATGGTCTAGTAGGTATAGGATACGGCATAAGGGTTTCCTTTGCATTACTCCTGGAAAACCTTTCACATATCCTGCAACGAGCCACAAAACTTTCAATGTCTGTAGCCATTCGTGGCCAATAAAGTATCTGTCGAGCCCTAGCTTTGCATTTTTCAATTCCTCCATGCGCGATATGGATTCGCTGAAGCATGTCCTGTCGTAGCTGTCGTGGCACAATCAGTTTGTGATTTAAAAACAATAAACCATCTTCTTCAGATACCATATGTCTTTGGTTCCAATAGTGGCGTACTATCTCTGGGGTGTCTTGCTTCCTTTCTGGCCAAACTTCTTTGCAGTATCTCTTCACAATAGCAGTTTCTTGGTCCTCTTCAGTGTAACGCTGGAATAATTTCTTCTTCTCTTCAGTCATAGGCAATGAACTTGTTAAACTGTGTACTTGAAATTCTGAAGAGACTGTCGTTTCTGTGCATTTTAATGCTGCTCTTGACAACGTATCAGCAATAAGTTGGCTACTACCAGGTAAGTACTTTACTTCCAGATCATAATTCAAACACCTTAGTCTCATTTTCTGTAGCCGACCTGGTAACACGTGCAAATCTTGTTGAAAAATATTTACAAGCGGCTTGTGGTCAGTCTGGATTGTTACTTTATAGCCATAAATAAACCTGTGAAACTTCTCAACAGCAAAAACTATAGCTAGAGTTTCCTTTTCAATTTGCGAATATCTCTTCTCTGTATCAGTCAATGAACGGGACATGAAAGCCACTGGCTGCCCACTCTGCAACAAACAACATCCTAGGCCATCTTGAGAAGCGTCTGTTTGTATTTCAAGAGGTCTTCGAGAGTCAAAGTATACCAAAACTGGTTCACTGGAAATTAATGTCTTGATGATCTTCAGAGCATCTTCATGCTCTACGGTCCATAAGAAGTCCACATCCTTTCTTGTCAAATGTCTGAGGGGTGCAGTGATTTTTACTAAGTTTGGTATGAACCTCGATAAATACTTTAGCATGCCCAATAACCGCATTACCCCTTTCTTGTCCGTGGGTGGGTCCATTTCAACTATGGCCTTTACATAATCTGGGTCGGGTTGGATTCCTGCAGCCGATACTATGTGTCCCAGATACTTAACTTCGCTCTTCTTAAATTGCATCTTGTTTGGATTAAACTTGATTCCAAGTTTAAGGGCTGTGTCCAAAACTCTCTTTAAATTTTCGTCATGCTCTTCCGATGTCGTTCCTCCTACAATAATATCATCATGTACTATGTTAACTCCCTTCAGGTTTCCAAAGCATTTGTAGTTATTTTTCTGGCACAATTCTGGACCCGAACAGATTCCAAAAGGAAATCTACAAAATTGGTATCTCCCAAATGGGGTACTGACTGTGCACAGTTCACGACTCTCCTCATCTAAAACAATTTGAAAAAACCCATCCTTAAGATCCAAAACAGTAAAGTATTTGTAACCACTCAATGTTACCAGAATATCATCAGGGTGTGGCATTAGAAAGTGCTCTCTCATTACCACCTTGTTCAATGGCATCGGATCTATGCAGATTCTCAAAGACTTATCAGGTTTTTCCACGATCACCAGAGGATTGACCCATGCTGTAGGTTTGTCAACTTTTCGAATCACCCCAGTTTCCTCAAGTTGGTCCAACTTTTCCTTTAGTTTTTCCTGTAAACTGTAAGGTACTCTTCGTGATTGTCGAATTTGTGGGATAGCACCCTCCTTAAGCTGAATATGATGAGTGCTTGGAAACTGTCCCAATCCTTCAAAAGCTGTCTTGTAGCCGGTTAAAACATCGTCCTTATCCTTAAAATTCAAACATATCGATGACACTCTCTTAATGAGTCCTAAATTGACACAATCGTTCAGTCCTAAAATCGGCAGTTCATGTTCGACATTCACTACAGCAAAATTCACATCTGCAGTTACACCTGTAATTGTTTTACATTGTAACATCACAAGACCTAGTGGTTTGATTTTGAATTTTTCATCTCCCCAGGCTGAGAGTACATAAGAACTACGTTTTACGTGTGTAATGTTCATTTTCCGTACATAACTAGCAGGTAAAATACTGATCTCTGCACCTGTATCTAATTTAAATTTAACTTGTGTACCACCAACAGTCAAGTTTTCCGTCCACGATTTTTCACTTTGACCTTTCACTCCACTAATGTTTAAGCTTACCGAGCCTAAACTAACATCGCTCACACAAGAGTCTTCATCGTGTTGTTCCTTGTTTGTAACAGCATGAGATTTAATAGTTTTACTCCTACAAACCTTTGCAAAATGATTTTTGCCATCACATTTCGAGCATGTTTTGCCATATGCAGGACATTTACCCCGAACATGTTTGTAGCCGCAAAAGCTACATAGATCATTCTGTTTTTCTTTTGCAATACTCCGCGAAAGTTCTTGATTTGGTACATTATTAACAACACATACACTGTATGGATCCGACTTAGTCCCCGAAAGCTTGGTTTCATTGTGCTCTACAATAGTCCTACATTGATCCTTGCTACTCTCTACAATCATACAGAAATCAATAGCTTTTTTCAAGTCAAGTTTTGTATCTCTTAATAGACGCTCTTGAGTGCTTTTATCTCTTATGCCTAAGACAATTCTATCTCTAATCATATTGTCAGGTTCAAGAAACTCGCATGATTTAGCTGCTATTTTTAACTGCATAACAAACTTACTGAAGTCTTGACCTTCTTCCTGCTTCATTCTATAGAATTTAAACCGCTCAAATATGACATTTTTCAGAGGACAACAGTAAGATTCAAACTTTGCAAGTACGCAATCAAAACTATCTTTGTCATTATCTTCAAATTTAAAAGTATTATATACATCTAGGCCATCATCGCCTAACAGATTAAGCAGCTGCGCAATCTTAATTTCATCCTTAAGTTTCTTACCATGACTAGTAGCTATTAAGTACAGTTCAAACTTCTGACGAAATCTTTTCCAATTTTCACTCACATTTCCTTCAAAACTCATAGGTTCAGGCAACCTAAACAATCCAGATACTTCCATTATTTCTTCTAGGTTTCAAAATACACCTGACACCATGTTTTAGTTAGAAAATATAAATAAAATTAGAAGCTTTAACATTTAAAGTTCAGAAGTTTATTTACAATTCCACTCAAGACAGAAACATAAACATGACTAATATTGTTTACCTCCAACTAACATATGATACATTTAACATATGATAATATGTGAATATAACATTATAATACAGGTGGCGTCCCCATCTCAATTGATGATGGTATAGTTGTTCGAATCTTCCCAACTTCTATCAACAGATATTGAGAAAGTGATTCATCAACCAAACACTATCGCTACGTCACACATATAAACCGTACATCTTGACTCACAACCCCCGAATCCAAAACTCCCGAGGGTCGCTGCTCGAGTTAATTTTCACCGGGGGAGTTTTACAACCGACGACTTTAAACAGAAAAGTGAGCTCGAGACCCTTACGACGTGTCTCGGGTGGTGTTTTCAATGTTTTAACCCGTCCTGGAGTGCTGGCAAGAGGGGGGTTTTCTAATAATTAATCTAGCGCCGAGCGTGAATTGGACGCAGGGGACCCTTAAACGGCGAACTGAAAAATTAACCCGTCTTTGAGCTTATTTGTGCCTGACACCCTCGACATAAAGATCCGTGGTGCGATCTCTTCTGAGAAAGGTTTTAAGCTGACGAATGGAAAGAATATTGTTTAAAATTTATGTGAACAAATATTCGATTTTCCTCAATTCCTTAATCACGTGAGTCGTCAAAGAGCAACTATCAATTTTGATTGACAATCTCAACACCCCGCACCTTACTCAACTACAGTATATGACTTATAAATTTATTTATTTGTAAACCTATTCACCAATTTTACAGGATACAGCAACCTGTGTGCTGACTACTCTATTAAAGTACATGTAATAGTGAAAAATAACTAAGAAAATAACAATGTACAGAGAAAAACAACTACAGAATAATGAATTTCTTCATGTATTTTGTTTTGTAATTTCCATATTCATAGTGTGAAAGTTATTCAGCAGTGCCTCCTTTATGAGGGAGGTTGTTTTCACTTACTTCCACAATCACACTTAAACTTATAATATGTGTTATGTGTACAATTTCGGCTGAATATGATACCGAGTAAAAAATTGAGTGAGATGATATGTTTAGCTTTGTTGCAGACCAAAACCAATACTATCTGTTTATTTCACTTTATTTCACCAGGGATTATTAAAACTAGATAACCAGTTGCTCGAAATCGAGCAAAAACTGAAACTTGTATTAAAAAAGTAAACAAAATACATGAACAGCAAGACCTTAATCAAAGAGTCACTCTAAAATAATTTATATGACTGATTATAGAAATATAAAAATATTATGATGTTAAAAATATGAAAGTAATCTACAATATTTACATTTACATTCACTCTCATTCTGCTTTGGTTATCTCGTATGTATAGTAGACGGGTGCACTTTATGAGCACGTAGATGTCAACCACGCACTGTAAAGTGAGCTTTTGACCTAATGTAGCTCAATAATTCCTCTCTTGACGCCAACTATCACTACAATCAATCAATCAATGTTATTCTAGCATTGTTAAATTATTTATTTAATGTGTTCTGTTTTAGGCGTGTTTAAATTAGGGGCCCCAACCCAGTCTCTGGTTGGGAACATGAGAGGGTAAGCAAGTGGATCTAACGACAGATCTAGAATGGATACGCGTTTAACATTATTAGTGTTGGAAAAATCTATACGATTTATTTGGCCAGGTGGGGCTTTGTTTTCAGCTTTAAAAACTGCTGCGAAATCTACACAGGTAGCACCATTGTAGCGAGGAAAGGCACTTCTTCTGTCTCTTATTATGTACATAAGAATCTCACTTGACTCCTCGGAGCCCTCGTCCCTAGATAATGTCTGCCACAGTCTTCAAAGATTTGCAAATGGGTTGGCATTGTGACCCTATTTCCCGCATAAGGAAAATTAAGTGTTTAATCTACCCTAGTGATTAGCGAACTTTGACTTGAGTTTGAGAAAAGTTCGATTCTTGGGATACCCTTGACTTTGTTATACACCGATTTCCCTCCAGACACTCTCAGATCCTGACAACCTCCCGCCCAATGTCCACCGCTCGTCATAGTCGTAGTGGGCGGCGACCCGCCAAGGGGACATTCCAAAACAGCTGTTATTTGGACCTCGTCGTGCGGGCCCCGGGGTTCTGTCCTTGCTGTACCAAATTGCTTTTTAATATGTTCCCGCCGCGACGGGGACCTGTTTACATAATGGGGCCACGACATTATGGCGCGGGTCGCCGGACTTCACAGCGAAATTACTAGTGATGGGTCGTAATTTTTAGAGGATTGTTTTTGATTTATTTGAAGAGTTTTTAATAGCTTCGTGAAGTTTTGGGTTTTAAATAAGTTTTAGCTTTACATTCCAGAACTAGTTAGCTCGCATCATAATGGGAAGATGTAAATTAATCAAATATTTAAAGCCAAATGGTTATAGCGCTTGCCTTCAAATCTGGAGTCGTATGTTTGATTCAAAGCTGATCATTAATGGATTGGGCAAGCAATTGCTATATAACAAACCGTTGAGTTGACGTTACGTAACAAGACCAGGGTTTAGTCGGTTTCCTTACAAAAATAAAAAATTCCGAGTGGCGAAGATAAACACTCAAATAAAATAAAGATTCTTCCATAAAAAAAGTACCACAGAGAACCCCCAATGATTCATCGATTGATGTATGATGTGATTTAAACCCCAGGACAAAGAAAAGACTGTGTACTCCTGATTCTGTGATTGAACTCATATTTTGGAAGTTATAAACCGCACGCCTGTACCTTACCTACAACTTGAACCCGGCATGCCGGCATGGGGATATGAGAATGGAAGGACCAGATTTCTATTTCGACTTCAAAAGAGAGCAATTCGAACCATCTTTAAAATCAGCTCACGAACTTCATGCAAAGATTTTTTCCAGTCTTCAAATATTTTAACTTTTCCATGCATATACATCCTTGAAACACTCTCTTTTCTGAAAATGAACATTTCCATTTTTTTCAAGTTCCAGATCATGTCCATATTCTTTGCGAAACAGTCTTAATCTTCAGATACCAAAACATTCAACCACCTTTTTCAAAAAACATCTTTATTATAACGGTATCCTGCTTTTCAATGCACTGCTAACACATCTAAAAATTGAGTCAAACCCTGTTGTTTTTAAAAAATCACTTCGAAAATTACTGGTGTCCAAGTGTTACTACCGTGTCCGTGATTTTATTGCTGATGGGTAGTCATGGGCATATGGTATGCTTGGTTCATGAATTGATTACATGTAAATATTGTTTGTTTTAGTAGTTATTTTATAGTTTATAAGACAATCAGTATTTTTTTAAATGTATATTGACTTAGCCAATGCTTTCATGTAAATCTGGCCAAATAAATGACTTATGACTTATGAACTTACCGCGGTGTCGCTAGGCCCAGTTCGGCGACAGTCAAAGATCCACCAGATGTCGGTGTTAAGCAGTAAAGATAATCTTTTAATGAGCCAAGCTCGAAGCGGGCAATGAAATGTCGTAATTGGTCGAACAGAGCCTACTAAAACTGTTTTATAAGACGTCGGACTTGTCTTCACCATTTTTATGACGGTCATTTGAGATTCGCTCGAAGGTGACATATTTTATTCACTGTCGAAGACAGAGAAGTTGAGGTTGAAAATTTCTATGTTGAAAAATGATTTTATTCCAATATTAGTTTCGGGTGTATGTGGAACAAATAAAGTTGATTCATTAGAATATTTATATATATATATATCTTCATTCGTAGGATAAAATGACTACGGACGGTATCACCAATAAAATTCTCGGTCTACCGTGAGAGCCACGTCAAATCGGAATTTACTCTATTAGACGATTCGTCCATGCTATCATGGGGTCTTCTCATTGGCAAAGCTGTGACTGGAAATTTAATAACTTGGATATTCAGTTAAATTAGTTTCCCTACAAGTTTAAAGTCATTGCTTGGAAGATTTGGTGTATACATATGCTTATCCATGGGATGTTTTTGGGTGTCTGTCAATAACTAATTGAATATCTAGATCCATTCCTGTATGTTAGGTTTATGAGAGATAAAGTTGTGTTAGACTGATTATAAGGCTAAATATAGTAAATTTTCTCTCTTTAAAGGAGCATTGCTGCACAGTGGGCAATAGGCAATCCTTCTAAAGTTCCACAAATGCATTTGCAATGAAGTACATACTGAAAAAGTTACAAAAATATTTCTTAACATTTACTTATTTACATTACACAACGTTAACAATTTGTTTATCTAATTTGCACGCCAGAAGAGTCGGGAGCGAACTATTCTAGTGGTAAAGCGTGGAACTTCGGTCACTAAGGTCCCGACTTCAAATCCTACAAATCTCCAAACTACTAAGTGATAATGCCATAACCTCAACACTAAGTATAAAGTAATGTGGAAAACAACCCTAGATCTATCCTGGGGGTCCTGGGGATTCCTTTTTTTCTAGGTTCTAACCAAGGGAGAAAAAGAATATGCTTATACAAAACTACACCTTTACCTTGGCACAGTACACTTCTGAGCTCTAGGTAGACGACGGACCGGAGCGACTCCTGGGAACGGAGGAGGTGATGTCGGTCATTACCGATTGGCAGGACCCGACAGATTTATTTGATAATAACAGACT